GCACATACACACAGATGCACAAACACTCAAAATATACATGCACAGGAAAATGCAGATACATACTCTCACACGCACTCAGACACACACAGATGCACACACGTCAAGGGATGCAGTCACATGCAAATACAGATGCACACACATACACAGACTCAGAGAGGCACACAGATGTACAGACACACAGCTGAGAGTGCCCACCTCTGTGCAGACCTCTTACTTGCCTCTACCTTCTCATTGCCCCAAAGCTCCCACTCCCTCTCTCATGGAGAATGCAGCATTGGTTGTCTTTATTTTTAGAATATTTTTCATCTTACTCCTGATCAAATTGGTGATAGTAAAGCAGGTGGCTTGGCTGGCAAAGTCTTCAGAAGTTGGATTCCAAAGCCTTAGTCAGTGTAGCCTCATTGCCTTGATACCAGCCAATCTGCTGTGTCATCGTAAATCACTGCTTCTGCCAGTTATGTGCAGTGGCCTAGCATGGACACTGGACCCACGCTTTGCAGTGTCCACATGGGTCCCACACAGGTGCTGAAGGAAGCAGAGATGGGGTCCCTGAGCAGCCACACTGGGGTTGCAGGAGGGACCTGGGTCTCCTCTAGAGCCCGTCCTCTCCTAGGACCCTCTTCTTCCCCAGGACTATATCCTCCCCTGGGGGGTCTTCTCCTCCCCAGGGGCCATGACCTCCCCCAGGGGACCCCTCTTCTCCCAAAGGGCCTTTCCTCACCGAAGGCCTCCTCTGGGGCCACTTCCTCTGCCTGGAACCCCATCCTCTTCAGGGCCACATTCTCATATTCTCAGCTTTTCACCTCTCAGACCCCCTATCATGGCTGCCTTTCATAATCCCTGGTAGCTACTTGTCTGCTCCCCACCTCCAGAACCTGACTTGCTCCCACCTGGGTTGCTTGGTTGGACCCTCACTGCCCCCAAGCATGCTGACCAGGCTCAAGAGGCTCCATACAGAGGAATGAGACCTAAGTATCCACCATACACCGGGCTCATGTGCTGCATGCCCATCGTGATCCTGGCTCACACACTGCACACCTACTGGGTGGGTGCCTGGCTCATGTGCTGCACACCTACTGTGCACCTGACTCACACAGGGCACACTGTTTGTGTACTTGGCTCACATGCTGCACACATACTGTGTCTACAGTTGGTCCACATGCTGCACACAAGATACGTACCTGGCTTGTGCATTGCACACCTAATATGGGTGTGCCTGATTAATGAATTGCAAATGAGCTGACTAAGGGAAAGCAAGGAGGAGAAAAGTGGGATTCCTGGGGGTGGTGTTGGGGGAGGAAGAGGTTCTGGGGGGATACAGTAGGGGTAGGAGGTGGGGGCCTTCTCAGGACAGAGAGGAAGAAGCTGAGGCCCCAGGAACAAAACACCCCAAGGAGCCCTGAGCCCCTTGTGCTGATCTCAGAGAGCACCTGAACTGGGTTCAAGTGGCCCTGTCCCGGAAGGCTCTCCAGACCCCTGGGCTGCTCCCTTAGACTCTGCTCACAGCCCCAGACCCTGACACAAAAGGCAGTCTCATATATGCTGTCACTCTATTCCCCTGTTCCTGAAAAAGTTAAATCATATCTTCGTCTGTGATTAAGGAGGAACGGTCTCTGCTACTATATTATTTTCTCTAAAGGTCAGACATAGAAGCAAACAGAAAACATGTTAATGAACCCAGAGATTGTGTCCCTGCATTGAACAAATCCTCTGAGCTCCTCTGGCACAACTACATGGCCTGCATTTTGCTCATACTTTCTTTTCTCTTCCCACGTGTATATGTGTGAGCATGTGGTTGTAGTTTTAAGGTACAGCTGATTCATACTCTTTAAGTAATAGAAACTCTCCTGTTTTTGTACGAAGCCATCACTTATTGCCACACTATCTGGCATGTATTTAGGCCATTTCCAAATTTTCACTGAGGTCAACATCTTGGAGTGTATGTTTTCCATTATCTCTTTTTTTTTGGAGAGGTTTTCACTATAGGGCATGTGCACTCGCCACAAAGACAGACAGAGACAGAGAGACAGAAAGCGATAAATCACCCCCCAGGGGGGATGGCCACGCCACAATCCCTTCTCCTCCATTCTCCTCTCTGGATCTTGGACACGCACGCACACGCGCCCAGCGTGAGTTTAAGCCACTGGGTCCAGGACTCGAACTGCAGTCGACTACATAGGAGTCCAGCGACATAGCCATTATGTTAACTGCTGGTCCCTTTTTCATTATCTCTTGACATAAATAGTCCAGTTACTGACTAAAGGGGACAGACGTACTGCTGAGCTGCTTCCCAGGACTATTCTGATCCACAAAACTGTCAACCGGACTGAGAGGCTGTATATTCCCTACAACCTGGCTATGAATCACTCTTGTTCCATGTCAACATCAACTTTTGTGAAATTTTGATTTTTTTTCCTTATTCCACTGCACTGAATAAGAACAATCTGAATAACATAATTGACAATAAGCTCTTTTTTATTTTCCACAAGTCATTATTTTGTAGTCCTATAGGCAAGCAGTGTCAGTACAGCTGGATCCAGGTTCTGTGGCATTTTCAGATCCTCCCATCCATCCACCCAGCTCAATCACCCCATAGGAAGAGAGGTCTCTTCCCACGCTCCCAGCTCAATCCCCAAGGAAGCTTCCTCGTGAGGTCACATGCTGTGACTTGGGAGACATGTGCTGGATTGGCCAGATAAGGGTTCTAAGCTGACCCTTTGAGCTGGTGGTGGCCTCATGTGGCCTGAGACTGGGGTGGGTGTTTCTGCTCAAGGCAGGAAGTAAGTCAGTCAGGCAAGTGAGTGAGTGTCCAGCTCAGCCCTTAAAGAAGGTCCATGCCCTCCTTTCTGGTCTAGGTGAATAAACGGAGACCCAGAGCAGGTCAATTTCAGGCCCTATGTCATACAGTGAGTCAGAAGCACAGTTGACATGAAACTAGGCTGGAGACTTTTAAAATTGTGTGACCTGGCACACACATCACTGTCTCTCAGTCTCTCTCTTCTGAAGGTATTTGGGAAGATAACTGCTTTACAGTGCCATCAGGAGGAAAGGAGGTGAGCCTTGTGAAGCCTCCAGACAGTGTTAGGCACACGGTGGAAGTTATGAATCCCAGGTGTGTCCACATAACTGATGCAGTTGGGTAAGAATTCAGGACAGTGAAGCCATGTCTAGGTTCACTCACAGCTGGGCCTGGAGTCTGTGGTCAGGAGCCTCATGTGCTCAATCTTCTGTCATTTGTCCCAGGTCACTTGGTCCTGGATGCTGACAATCTGTTTGTGCAGCCCTAAACACTGTGAAACAGTAAGAGTGAGGAGAGCCTGTTCAGATGTTGACCAGCTGATTATGTCTTCCCTGGATATCATACACTCCCCAGGGTCCTAGTAAAGACCCTTTTCCTTCAGTGTGATACCCCCAGGTTGCCAGTTTCTGCAAGTTGGTCCACAGCATCCACAGTCACTCACTTCATGATGACTCCTATTAGATATATAACCGAGTCTAACTCATGCTATATGGGAATCAAGAACTGCCTCTGGTGGAGAAAATTAGGATCTTCTCCTTTCCAGAATCTTCTGCCTCTGCTCTGAAGCTGTGGGAGGGCTTTCTGTTCAGAAGGGTTATTTTTCTAAGCTGTAGTAATCTCTGGGACTCCCCACAAACCTCAGGAAAAATGTACCACCTGGTGAGCTTCTGACCACATTCACTTCACAGTCATCTCTGGAGATCTGGGGACAGGCCAGTCTGCCTGAGTGTTCTGAAGGTTTAGGCAGGAATGACTTTAGGAAGGCAAGAGACAGGGTGTGAACCCTGTCTTTATCTGCATCCTTCCTCTCCCACCTACTACTTGGGACCCTGGGCATCCACCCCAAGGCAATTCCATTAATTGTCTTATTTCATTAACTTATTTACATTTAATCACTGTACATCTTCAAAGTGTGCAACATAATGTGCAATGTGTTCCCTGTACATCTTTCCCAGCATGCATGCATGTCAACAGAATCAAATGCATCACCATATTCTTACTGAATGGCAAAAGATGAAAGCTCGAGGGCCAGCAGGCGGTGTAGTGGTCAAGGCGCTGGACTCCCACATGGCCAACCACAGCTTGAGCTTCAGGACCAGCAGCCTGAAAATTATGTGCATATGCACAGGTACCCCAAAACCTGAGAGCAGAATGGAGGAGGAGGGATTTCAGCATGGCCATCTGCCCTGGGGGATGATTTGTCATTTTCCCTCTCACTGTCTCTCTCTGGTGAGGGCAAAAGCCTTATGGCAGAAACAAACAAAACCTGAAAGCTTTTTCACGAAAAACAAGGAGGCTGCCCACTTCCCTCTCATTTCTTAAAATGGCATATTTGTAACAAAGTGTAGTCCTTTTGAGGGTTAAATAAAATATCAAATGGTGGGAACTAGTGATTCTGACAGCTGCAATCATTACAGGTGCTTGGCAAATATTTCACAGGTGAGTTTACTTGGTTCGCAGCATAACAGCTGAATTACTAGAGATAGCCGCTGTTCATCATCACACTAAAAAACTTGCCTTCCCCTACCCTGCCTGCAGCTCTGCGCACCTCTCCCTCACAGAGCACCTCTCTGGACCAGGAGGCAGCAGACCCTCTCTCTGGGAAGCCCCAGCCTGAGGAGAACAAGGGCTGGGGGCAGGAGAGCCTGCCAGGGAATTTCTCAGTGGTTCTGCTCCTGTGCCTGCACACAAGCCCTCCTGTCCCAAGGTCCCCGGGGCGCGTGGAAGCCCGTTACCTGCACTGTCACCCCAGGTGCACAACCTCTGCTCTCCCACAGTCTCAAAGGCCTCTAAATACTGTACATTTCGAGCCATGGAAGGGCAGAAGGCAGGAGAGCTGAGTCTGCACATGCGCAGAAAGAGGGCGGGCAGCCATTTCCAGAGTGCTGTGCGGGAGGTACGTTATGCTGAAAACTACAATTCCCAGAAAGCCCTGCGTCTGGCGAAAGTAATTTTCCGCTGCTTTAGTGGGTTTAGAAGCCAAAGTGACAGTTGGTTTTGACAGTTAGACCCCGGAGGTTTTGGGCACAGCAGCTAACTGCACTGCTTAGTTCTCCGTCAGATCCTAGTCAGAGAAAAAACAGCTGCAACAGACTTGAACAATTGGGTAAAGGTAAGTAAAGATATTAGAAATATTAAGGAAGATTGCCATTACTTTTCTTGGTGTAGTGATAACATTTGGTCAACTCGGGAGATTATTTTTTATTATTCATTTTTCTTTTTTAGAAGAAATATTTTATTTAATTTTTTGCCTTTAAAAATTATTTTATACGTTCAGTCACTGTACATTACAACAGCTTGTAAAATGAGTTTACCCAACATGAATCCACTTCACACCACACTGAAACATTTACAATTGTGTATTTGTCATTTAAAATAGTACTTTAATTTAGAAAAACCACTGGTGAAGGCAAACATGCTGAAAGGTCAAGAATTTCTAAATTGGTGTTAATATTATGTTCATTTTACTATTTTCTGCTATTCTGAGTTAAAGACAACCCCTCCCCCAACACACACACACACACACACACACACACACACACGCACGAGTAAAGTACTAGAGGGGAAATCTCCCTAAGTGTCCATTTAAAAGCTGCCAAGAGAAATAAAAGTACATAAACTATCTCTTATTCCTGTGACTAAGATTGTGAAATAGAAAAAATACTAGAAAACATGGACCTAAAAAATACCTGAGGTACCAGGTGGCGTGATGGTTAAGGTGCTGGATTTCTACATGGCTGACTGCAAGTTCGAGTCTGGCTGGGGCAGTTTGAAAATAACATCAGGCACATATGTGTATGTGTTGTGTGTGCCCAAAATCCAACAAGGAGAATGAAGAAGGGATTGTGGCATGGCCACCCCCTCTGGGTGATTTTTCATTTTTACTCTCTCTCTCTCTCTCAGGGGAGCACACGTGACTTATGGCAAAAAAGTTAATAAAAAGAAGAAAAAGAGTAACATCTCTTACCAGCAGGGTTCACCTATGGAACAATTGGAGAAGCTAGCTGTTCAAAATTACCCGAATAGTTTGCAAACCACCTGGGTAAATATTAAGATGAAAAAGAAGCAAAATATTTAAAGGATGCAAAAATGGAAAATTATCTGTTGATGATACTACATATAGTAGCATTTTTTTTAATTTTATTTTTATTTTATTATTATCATAATCTTGTCCATATTACATTGAACCACATATATCTTTACAGTGTATTACATTTCTTTTTCCAAAAGGAATACATGCAGTCAAGACAAAGACATTACTATCCACGTTATCATCATCAAATAGCTTTCATCATTTTTTCCAGATTATTATTATTTTCATTCTCATTTTTTTAAACAATAACTACATATCATTTTGCTTGTAAAAGAATTTACCCAACATGAAATACTTCTCAGGCCAGTCCATTTGAGAATACTATACATGTTATCACCAACAGGTAATAAACCATTTCTGTGTCCCACTAATGGCGTGCCTTCTCTTGCTTTCTCTATGCTCTTCTCTTATCCTGCCCCATTCCACACTATCTTCAGCATCCCTAACTGCTTCCACTGCTTTTATGCTCTCTGATATTTTGATCTCTATCATAAAGTGTTGGTACCCCATATATATTAAGGGGATACATGCAATATCTTTCTTTCATATCCTGACTTGCTTCACTCAGCAATAGATCCTCCATATCTGACCATGTTCTATCAAATGCCAGGGTCTTGTTGTTTTTTATGGATGAGTAGTATTCTATAGAGTAGATGTGCTAGACTTTTTTTAATCCACTCATCTGTTTGTGGACATTTGAGTTGTTTCCATGTCTTAGCAACTGTGAATAATGCTGCAATAAACATTGATGTGCAAGTACTTTTCTGACTCAGGGGTCATGCTTTGGTGTTATTTAAAACTCATTGTCCCCACTTAATATATACTGAATGTCTGCACTTCATAGCAGAAACTGAAAGGTGAGAAGGTATTGTAGCAGGTAGGGCAATTGAAGACACTAGCGTCAGTTTAGGAGTGAGTAGATAATGGTGGGTAATAGAGGGTGAAAGGGAGTTGATCAGGAAAAAATCAAACAAGTCATTAAATAGACATAAAAGTGAGAAGTTTTCTGTTGATGATAATGTATATGGTAATATCTTCAACTTGATAATAGGCACTGTATTCATGCTGGGAAAAACCGTGTTGTGCACTGTAAAGATAGGCAATGATTAAATGTAAATTTAAATACACACACACACACACACACACACACACACACACACGTATATCCATAACAGAAAAAAATCAAACCTCATTGTTAAATCCAGAGGTATCTGTATTTATACATTCTCCTGTATTATTATCTAAAAGTTTTATAGCTTTGTGTTTTCTATTTAGACCTATACTCTGTTTCGAGTTAACTTTTCAGAAAGTTATAAGATCTGTGTGTACATACAAATTTTTCTTTTATTATTGTGGATATCCAATAGTTGTAGCATCATTTATTGAAAAGGTTATCTTTTCTCTATTGTATTGCCTTTACTTCATTGTCAAAGATCAGTTGTTGATATTTGTGTGGGTCTCTTTCTGGATTCAGTTTCATTCCACTGATCTATTTGTCAGTTATTTCACTGATGCCACACAGTCTTGATTACTGTAGATTTATACTAATTCTTGAATCTAAGTAATGTCAATACTCTGAATTTTTCCTTTTGGATGTTTTGGATTTCTATATAAATTTTAGAATCAAGTTTATCAATGTTTGAAAACTAATGTACTGAAATCTTCATTGAGATTATTTTGAATCTATTGATCAAGTTGGTAGGAACTATCACTTAATGATATTGAGTCTTTCTACCTAATAACATCTTTCCATTTCTTTAGCTCTTTCATCTGCATTTTGTAGTTTTCTTTATATAGATTTTCTATATATTTTGTTAGATTGATCTCTAAGTATTTCATAATATTGGCGCTAACATAAATGGTGTCATATTTTTAATTTCAAGCACCAATTATTCATGGCTGGTTTATAGCAATGAAGTTGACTTTTATATGAAAATCTTGTGTCCCAGATCCTTGTTAATAATTATCAATTCTTTACTCGATTAGCCTTATTTGTCAATTCTTTGGGATTTCTTCATAGACAACCATTTTATTTGCAAAGATGGTTTCTTCCTTCTTATCTGTATGGGTCAGATCCCTTGGTAAGGCACTCCACCAATAGTCTCTGAGTCTTGATGGAGGGTGCAGGGGCCGTGTGATGGTGCTCTCTTGATTTTAGGCATGGGGTTGGTAGGCAGTGGCTGCTTTGCAAGCAAAGGGTGGAGTTTCCCAGATTTGCTAGACGAGCACTGAGTTTCCCCAGTACGTGTGTGAGTCATCAGCTTGCCCTGAATTATCTCACTCACTTGCTAATACCCTTTTGGATTCCCAGAACCAAATTTTACACTTCTTAGTGGCATCCTACCTATCTCAGGTTGACATTTCTTAGAAGTATGTATGTACTATGACCTCCAAACTACAAACTTTGCCATCAGATTCTAAGTGTCCTGAATGATCCTGAACCTTAAAGGAATCTTTAATCTCTCACTATTTTAAAGAATGCAACAGGGAGCCAGCAGGTATCATAGTGGTTAATGCACTAGACTCCCACAAAGCAGACTGCAGTTTGAGTCCTGGACCAGGCAGCTCACTTTCTCACTTTCCATTTCTCTCTCTCTCTCTCTCTCTCTCTCTCTCTCTCTCTCTCTAGCACACATGCCCTGTAGCAAATTAAAAAAATAATAATGATAAATTAAATAAAATAAGTACTTCTTTAAAAAAAAAAAGGCAAGGAGGTGGACCTTACCTTTAACACTGCAGTTAACACTAAAGAAGGTATTTGTAGTCTGTCTTCCACCCAAAGAAGCTGTGCCGTATTTGGGGAATACCTTTGAGGCAGAAAGTCTAAGGCTCACCTTGTTTCTCTTTTCACAGGGATCCCCCTCCTTCGTTGCTTTCTGATCAGAGCCTAAAACATGTCGCCAATTTTTTTGTGTACAATGGGAATGTAAGTCTGATTCTTATTCTACTTTGTGATCCCTGATCTAAACAGTTATTATTCATCTTTTAGGTCAAAAAGGTATTGTCTACTTTTTAGGTCATTAAAGTGAAGCACAGTGAGCTTATGTCACTTGCCCAAGGCCATATAATTGGTAAATTGAAAAGCTGGAACTGTAACTTCTGTATTCTGGTAACTGTTTTGGTTCTTTTTCTATCAAAGCAATGTGGCATAATTTAATTAGTATGAGGAATTTTTTAAAAACCTACTCAAGCATAATTTCTAGGTTTGATAAATAGAGAAATAGAAATGAGCTGAATGTCTTTTCTCATTTTTCTGAGGCTACTATGGCTTCTTTCCCCAACTCACAAATATTTTAAACAAATCTTTAAAATAGCAGAGATCTTAAATATTCTCAAGTAGAAGCCTTGTCACAGGATAGTGATTAAAAGTGCATGAGATTGTTATTAAAATTCCTACCTGGTTACTATTAAAAATCTTATATTACAGGGCCAGCAGGTGGTGTGATGGTAAAGGTGCTGTATCTGACTCTGCAGTTTTAGTCACAGACCATGTGGCGTAAAAAACAAGCTGGTCATGTCTGTGTATGAGTACAAAATCCTGAGAGGATAATGGAGAAGAGATTATGACATGGCCATCTCCCCTGGTGGGAAGTGATTTTACACTTTCTCTCTGTTGCTGTAACTTTTTGTCTTTCTCTGGTGAACACACTCACCATACAGTAAAAACAAAACAATACAAAACAATGAAGAATTCTTCTGTCCTTTGGGTAGATACCGAGGAGTGGGACCTCTGGATCATATGGCAGATTCAGTTCCAATTCTGGAATATATGAACAAGAACCAAATAAATCCACCACCATGCCATTCCTTAGTTCCAAGATCCCTAGGGAGACTTTTGTGTTCCTTCAACTTATCAGTCTTCTCATATTTGTTTTATATATAATGGTGATAAGTTTGTAGATTTACTATGCTGTATATCATTATAAATAAAGTTTAATTGGAACACAAAAAGAGCCCCCAAAACAATACAAAACAAAAACCAAAAAAAAAAAATTAGAAAACCATATACTAAAAGTGTTTTTGGTTAATAGAAGGGTTAAAGAAGGGAAAACGTTCCTAATATATAGGAGAAAAAAAGTTAAGAATTTCAGAAGGTGGAGCCAGCAAGTGGCTGGTTAAGGTATTAGATTCCCACATGGCTGACCGTGATTTGAGTCCTGGACCTGAAAATCACACTAGGTTCACATGCATGTATGCTCAAAATCATAGCGGGAGAATGGAGAAGGAACTGAGGTGTGGCCATCCCCCTGGGGGCTGATTTCTCACTTTCCCTCTCTCTGTGTCTCTCTGGTAAGCACATGCACCCAATGGTAAAATCCTTTAAAAAATAACAATTTCAGAAGTATTAAAATATTTTCACTATTGTGTAACCTGAGAGTACAGATGTAGGCAACAATCAGTGGCTGCTATAGCCATTAATGATAAGTGAGTTGGAAGTTTTTCAGTTTATCCTTTTAACCATTGCTAAACATATGATTCAGCAAAATCTGTTTATTCACATTATTGTCCAACCATCACCACCATCCACCTGCGAAAACTTTCATTGTCCTGACTGAAAACCTATACCCATTGAGCTATATCTTCATGTTCTCCACTCCATCCAGACCTGGCAACCATCATTCTGTTTTCTGTCTCTGTAAATATGATTACTTAGATACCTTATATGAGTAAAATTTTACAATATATGTTCCTTTGTTACCAATTTATTTAACATAGACCATTTTGGGAACCAGCAGTTAGCGTAATGGCTGTGTCACTGGACTCCCACGTAGTCGACCGCGGTTCGCATCCCGGACCCAGTGGCTTAAAACTCACGCCGGGCGCGTGTGCGTACGTGCCCAAGATCCTGAGAGGAGAATGGAGGAGAAGGGATTGCAGCGTGGCCATTCACCCTGGGGTGGGGGTGGGGTGTGATTTCTCACTTTCTGTCTCTCTGTCTCTCTCTGTCTGTCTGGTAAGTGCACGTGCCCTATAGAAAAAACCTCTAAAAAAAGATGAAAAAAAATAGATCATTTTGTAACTATTTAATTTTAATTTTATTTATTCATCATTTATTTTAATTTGACCACACACACAGTGAGAAAGAGAGAGAAATTGAGAAAGCAAGCCCCCAGGTCCAGGACTCAAACCGTGGTTGGCCATGTGGAGCGTCCAGCACCTCAACCACCACACCACTGGTCCCTGTAGATAATCTTTTAGGTTCATCTATGTTGTGGCAAGTATAAGAATATTATTTTATTTTATTTTTAGAGTTTGTCATAGGTCATGTATACTTGCTGAAGAGAGAGACAGAAAGACAGAGAGACAGTGAGAGCTAAAGTGAGAAATCACCCCTCAGATGGATGACTTTTCCACAATCTCTTCTCCTCCATTCTCCTCTCAGGATTTTGGACACACACATGCACAAGCACCCAGTGTGATTTTCAGGTCAATGTGTCTAGGATTCGAGCCATGGTCAATCATGTTGTAGTCCACCACCTACATTGTCATCTGCTGGCCCTTAGAATTTTATTCATTTATAAGGCTGAATACACACCATTGCACTGTTGAGGGGGTGTCTGTAGAAAGTTCACAAAGTTTGTACTGTATTATGAAAAAAGTGTGCATGAGATTCAATTTTTTTTGCATTATAATAAGCACATACTTTCATTTAGTTTTTCCATAGACTTTTAAAGTCCCCTCATCTGTGCTATGTTTTGTTCATCCATTTATCTGTTTATGGACACTTGAGTTGTTTCTGAGTTGAACTATTGTGAATAATGCTGCCATGAATATGGCTATAGGAACATTTTTTTAAATTCCTGCTTTCAGTTCTTTTAGATATACATCCAGAAAACAATTTCTGGTCATGTGGTAACTCTGTTCAATTTTTGAGGAACTGTTGTCCATTTGTCACACCAGGTACAACATTCCAGAAATGTACAGCATTCTAATTGCTCTACATTCTCACCAACACTC